CAGCCCGAAGATGAACCATCAAAATCCGAAGACTCCGGGTCAAACCCGGATATCTGGCAAGCCTACTAGCAACACGCCACCTCACTCCTTGCGACAAAAGTGTGTACAAATATTTTTCCATAATTTTATGTGTTTGGTGTCAGGTACACTTCTGGCCCATGGCAACTCACATGTGGCAATGGCGATACCAAATTCTCGGATGTATATCAGGAACGTGTTGGTGCATGTACCTTCTGCCCCCGTGACAGTCTATTTTATATAATAGATACCTACGAGTGTGAAATGAAAATTAAACATGTAAAGAAAAATGCAAGAAATAGGAAAAGAATTGAAAATTATTTCAGTCAAGTTGTTATAATTTATAAAAAAGCTCTCAAATATTAACAATTTACAAATCTTAATTAGTACTTACCACCCTTTTTTAAATTGCATATGTAGACAATAGCATGCCATTACTATTGAATCTACCATTACATGTTGAACTTCAAAAAAGTTTGTAAAGACCGTCTTGCAGCTAAAGTTCCGGAAAAGTGTTCCGATACCTGTCTTGCTCCAGATAATCTGTAATTACATAATTATTTTCTTTGTTTCATCTCCATTAAGTGTGTTTTTGACTGTACGAGCAAAGCAAATACGGTTTTAAAGAAAATGCATCTTCTCCAACAATGACTTGAGGTAGGGGTATAGGTATTCAATTCACGATTGCAATGGCGATGGTAATCACTAAGGCTGTCAGAGAAAGCCGCAATTCAATGGCGTACCAAGTGGGTCAAGCGAGACATGCGCGAGCCGCTGCCTTAAAGTGCATTTCACGTTCACATCACGTTGGTATATTGTTATCTTCGTTATCTTGCGGATGTCGCGTAATTAATTCCTATCCGTTGATGTTTGTGGTGGTGTATTGTAGACAATTTAATTTGTTGCTCTCTAATAAATAATGCGTACGCGTCTATGCCTGCGGCTCAGTTCTGACAGCCTTAATAATCACTTTTATAAATTTGGTCTATTTAAATTTTAAAACGCGCATTATAATCGGCGTTGGATACCAATCCACTCAACACCAAATCCATCAACCCTACACGCTCTGATACATACCTACGTCGTGTTTGAAAAAAAAATCATGCAAATAATTAAATTGTTTTTTATTCATTCAAAAATACAAAAATATCGATTTCGATTCAACTCCACTTCCCTAATAAGAAGTGGATCTTGTTTGTGGAAGGGCGAAATGGGCGGTGACTATTAGACGTCTTCATTATAGCCATCTTTCCCTATCGCACGGATTTCTATGACTTTCTTTATCGCTCTCACGTAACGGCCGATGAACCATGGGGACTTTCCGACTCTGTATATTGGTGTATATTTAGTTCTACTATATCCAGCATGCATATCTTAAAAAAAGTCGCTTGTAATGACTACTTTATTGTACATATATTGTTTTCCTGAGAAATTACTTAAATAGCTCTTTTGGTGCTTATGTCACTTTGCGTGATCACCGACCAAATCTAACTGATACCAACAAAATCTTGCTTTTTATACTAGTGACGCAGCCAGAGAAAATTTATGGGGAATCAGAATGAGTAAGTGAAATGTATGAAAAATAGACTTATACAATACCAAAAAGTAAGATTTTTAAGATGAATCGGAAATATATTGTCCAAAATAGGGCACACCTGTTCTAAAGATATCCTAGGATATCCAGAGGGACATCCCTCTTATGTATGGTTCTGAGTATGTCTAGCCATAGGACGGATGTTCGAGAGATATCTTGTTTCAAATCAGGACATCCTTCTTATGTCCCACCGTATGTCCATTGAGGATGTTTGAATATTATAAGGGATATATTTTGGATGACTGGGCGATTTATTTTCATTTTTCACTATCTGGGTAGGTATCAAACGTATTTAAGTATAATGAAGTTGAACTAGATGATTGAATTCGCCCTTCTGAATATACAGGGTGGTCCGAATTTTATGCAGGAAACTTCGAGGGTAGATAGATCACTTTAAAATAGTAGGTGTTTGCCTGATAAACATAGGTCTGGAACTGCCTCGTTTTAGAGATACAGAGTGTTGAAGTTTTTTGCTTATATCTCCGGAATCTATTAACCGATTTCAATAAAATTTAGTACATATAATGTATGATAGTAGGCCTTATATTTCCTAAAATATGAGCTCTAAAGATACAACCAGTGGTGTACAACTGGACAGGGTCATCCCCTTTTTTATAAAAAAAACCTACGCCACTGTATTTTTTTACACGCTATTGTGAAGGATTTATATTCTATTGCACAAAATACGTAAAAAAGGTATCTTGAATTTTTTCCCTAAAGTTCACCGTTCTCGAGTTATTCATACCAACACAACCCCCTTGTAGCAGACACTTCTAACCATAATATTATAAGAATATTTATGTTTATGCTTAAAAGTAAGTGCAATTTGTAAGCATATCAACAAAATTCTTTACACTCGTTGCTTTCATCTTTTTGGATTAAAACGATATTTGGAAAATCACGACGGAGTAATAAAAGGCACAGAAATTACATTTTAAGAGTATTTGACGACGATGTTTGGCTGAGTACACGAAGAACGTCTCGGCAAGTTGGGGTGAGTAAATCGAAAATTTGAAAAGTTCTACATAAGGATGGCAGAAATCCGTACCTGTGCAAAATTTACTTCCGGGAGCTGCAGAGACACGCCTGAATTTTTATCAGAATTCTTACTAGAAATACTTTGGACCGATGAGGCTGCGTTCACAAAGCGAGGGGTAGTGAATTTTCACAATTTGCATATTTGGTCACAAGAAAATCCTCATGAAATTCGGACAAAATCTTTTCAAAACGAATTTTCTGTGAAAGTATGGCTCGGAATAATTCACAATAAAGTATGTGGACTTTTCTTCTTGCCACTCCATTTGAATTCCCAGCCATTTATAAACCATCTATTTGAATTATTAGAGTATGTTCCATTAAATATACAACAAAATACTGGATACAAATGGATGGTGCTCCTTGAGGAGAATAATACAAGAATGGCTTAATGAAAATTATATGGGGTGATGGATAGGCAGAAGACCAAATACCAATGTCAACCATAATGTTGAACAGGATCCAGTGTCTCGACCAGCCAGATCGCCAGATCTAAACCCCCTGGATTTCCATGTTTGGGATTACCTATCTGAAAAGTAAAGTTTACTCCAGTAGATACTAGACTACAACTACTGTAGCGAATAGAACGCGGGTGTAATGAATTAAAAGAAAACCATCACATGTTAGCTTCAATTAGTTCCATTAACAGAAAATGTCAGAAATGTATGGATGTGGGTGATTCGCATTTTGAACAATTGCTGTAAATACGTAACGTTAATTTGGTTTCTTGTTTAGTTGTTGCTGCTTGGTAAATGTATTTTTATTATTATTTTGATAAATTATTCTTGTTTGTAAAGATTAGGCCTCCAGGGAAAACTAAAATACACCAGGAACACTACCTCACAGGTGATATGGAAAGAATGTTGTTGATGTGCTTATAAATTACACTTACTTTTAAGCATAAACATAAATATGCTTGTAACGTTGTGGTTTGAAGTGTCTACCACAAGGGGTATTGGTATGAATAACTTGAAAATGGTGAATCTTAGGGAAAAAATTCAAGTTACCTTTTTTACATAGTTAGTGCATTAGAATATAAATCCGTTACAATAACTTGTAAAAAATACAATGGCGTTGGTTTTTTTTTATAAAAAGGGAGGTGACCCCTGTCCAGTTGTACACCACTGGTTGAACCTTTAGGGATCATATTTTAGGAAATACAAGGTCTACTATCATACATTATATGTACCAAATTTTATTGAGATCGGTTAATAGATTCCGGAGACACAAATAAGAAATTATTTTTTTTAACAACTTCAACACCCTGTATCTCTAAGACGAGACCGTTCCAGACCTATGTTTATAAGGCAAACTCCTATTATTTTAAAGCGATCTATTTGTCCTCGAAGTTTCCTGCATAAAATTCGGACCACCCTGTATATCAACGGAATTTCCGGATACCCTGTATATTATGCTATTTGTATGAGCAAAACAGAGCAGTACTTTATTCATTTGATGTCAAATATCAGTAATAACAATAAGTAATAGATGTTCTGGTATTTTGAATATACATTAAAAAATTGTTAATTTTAACAATTTTAATTATTTTCTCTATTTGTTTCACATAGGCATTTTTAGTCGATTATAACGCCCCAAAATGCTTCGAAATGTTCGTTCGGAAGTAGAACAATGATTTTATTATTGTATGGAAGCGGAGGGAAACCAATTTGAACACAACAAAATAACATTCTTTCATTCATTGATAGTTTGTCCTATTCTTGATGATTTTATTGTCATATCCAAACCAAATTCCGATATTTTTCAGGTGTGAAGTTGTAATTGAAATGCTCTGTATGTCTAGTCTTAGGAACAGCCACCTGTGTACGTGAGTTTGAGAGATTTCATCTATTAAAAAAGGAATCATATTCAATTTAGATTCAATTAGATTTTATGGCTCTTGAACTCATAAGATGCACTATTCAGAAGATATTTAAAAACTATTACAATATTATGGGAGGTTTCCATCTACGATTCTTTGATGAAGAATCTTAACAAATGAGAGATGTAAAATAAAACTTGTCATTAGGTACGCCCCTTGCACCCTCCACAACCGCCCATTAGCAGCGGCGTATGTGGAACTGGCGCCCATTATTTTAATTTTTAAAAATTACTTAAAATATTTTTTTTGTTTACTTGATCTAGTTTTTCAGTTTACCTCCAAATGTACTAAAATGACTAAGTGTAAAATTACTGTTGTGTTGGAAGTTCTATGTGAAGCTTAGATTTAATATTTGTATTATTATATTGTTTGCCGCTGTTTTTTAATGAATAGAATAGAGCCATTATAAATATGGCTTATCGAAATGGGGCATTAGGGTGTTAATCATTGACGTATCAAATTACCTGATACATAAGTTCATTTACCATTAAGTGATCAGTTGTAGTTGAAACCATGTGCTGTGTTACAAGATACATATTTTCTTTACTTATAATTTATATAGGTAAGTAGAATATTTTAATATTATTAATTAGTGCTTATTGCAATTTTATTACATAAAAATAAAAAGAAATATAGAAACAACTTTGTTGACTACTCATGGAAGTAATTAAAAATGTGTTGTATGGTCCAAAAATTAATAACTATCAATTTTGTTAAGCACATTTATTAAAACAATTAATAAAAATTTTTCATTTGACGGAATTTCATTTGTATTTTCTAGAAAATAATATGTATTTGTATTCTTTTTTTAATGAAAATAATTTATTGATTTATTGATGATAGTTAACTATAACTTCCATTATAATTTTGAAGTTTATTGACCTTTTTTATTTTATTGGGATAATAGAAGGCCTAGAAAGATAATTCTATCAACATATTTTCGCAGTTTAAGATATGACCTGGCGCCATCATACATAACTTTTATAATTATTTTTAAAACTAGCCTGGTTTACAAACTTGCATAGTAGTTGTCAATGGTTGAACAATTTTCGGGCTGGTTACAATATCGTCAGTTTAGGCTTCTTGACATTTCTTGAAACTGTTATTAATAATTGCAATTGTTATTACAATATTTGTGGCATTTACTTTTTTTGATTTAATACTAAACTTCAACAAAATTTATTAATTCGAAAATTATATAAGTATTCAGTATTTTAATGGAAATTGGATTTATGTAAAGATCTACCATGAAACATATTCGCAAAATAAAACCTAAACACATAATCTTTTTGATGTGGCAAGGAACCGTACGGATCGATTTTTTAAAATTTGGTTCGGGTGCCAAGTAGACAACACATCCTTCTACAGTAAAAATTAAGGAAAAAGTTTCTATGAATATGAGTGGATAAATACCTGCTCAGAGGTTATAACCATTTAAAGGATAGCACCTAAAAATTGTTCAATATATCTGAAACCGTGATAAAATAATCGAATTTGGAATTTACCATTGCTCTTATATTGCAGTTCTATTGGTGCATCCAAAACAAAAAAAAGTTAATATAGAATATATTTTATTGTGATATAATATTTCAGGCACCTATTATAGGTGTCTACATTATTTAACACTTAAATATGAAAAATTAAATTAAAGTTAAAAATAGATTTTTCAGGCGTTATTTAGAAAAAATATTTCATTTTAAAGTTTTGATCGTTTTCTTGTACCCTTATTTCTCTAACTAAATCGAATCTTTATTCTATTTATTTCTAAATAATCCTAACATAACAAAGAGATGTTAAGGAAAACAAGGCCTAATAAAATATTGCTTATTGCGCATCACACATTTTAATTCTAATTAATCGAAAATATACAATATTCACAATTTGCACCTTTTGCACCTTTGTATCCAGTATGCCCTGAGTATATTTTCGTCCTGTACTGACAACTCGAATAATAAAGGATGAGAATCTTGTTGAGTATAGTTTTCCAGTGGAGGAAAAATTGGCTTCATTTTTGAATACCTAGTTATAATTTGCATTAAATTGCAATATATTTAAGATGACATCCGTCTATTTAATGTAAAGGTTCGTTATTTTTTTAACTACTTTTGCTTCTTTGTATTATTTTTGACATGTCACTTGTCAACAGAAAAATTATGAAAATTTTGTGACCACAGAACTTCATTTTGAGTTAGCGATTTTACGTATTTGTATTACCTACTGTACGTATGTAAATTTGAAATATCATTGATATGGTAGATTATTAAAAATTTTGCATTAAAGACAAATTTATGTACCAGGTTTTAGGAAACTTTCTTGCGATTTTAAAATAATCTATAAAACAAATATAGGCTGTTGCATAAACCAAACTTTTCTTTTGTTTAATGGCACACCTTGTTTATTTGTCTTTTTTTTGGAATCTTTGAGAAGATATCATAATAAACTTCCAATTCCATTAAAAGTCGAAAAAAACAGTGAATATCATTTTGACATTGAATCGAGACTGACATGCTTCCTTGGGGCGTGGAGATCCTTTGTCAATCCATTGTGATGATTGAACTGTTGTTTCAATGTCATAACCGTAAACCCAACTTTCGTCTCCCGTTATGATTATTTGAATGAATGTTTCATCGTCATTCGTCATTGAATTTTTCAAGGAGTTGTTGACAAACATCCATACGATTTTCTTTCTGTTGTTCGGTCAACAAACGGAACAAATTTTGCTGCAACTCGATGCATGTTCAATTTTTCACTGAAAATTTCATAGCATGACCCATTTGAGATGCTAACCTCTTCTGCAATTTCTCTAACAGTTAATCGGCGATTTGCACGCACCAGATCTTTGACTTTGTTAAATAATAATTTAAGTTTTCATTGGTCTCTTCTAGCATTTTACCCCGAAATTTTGAACATATTGTAAAAAATTGTTTCACTTCAATCGTCAAGAACACCTATTTTGTTTCTTAAATATATATATATATCTTATATTTTCTTTGTCTGTTCAGAAAATTTTCCATGTTTTACTTAATTGTACTCTAGCAGTCCCAAAGATGGAAATATTTTCATTTAGTACATACCTGTACTCTGTAGGTTGGGGTGTACTGAAATTATACGGTTTTCTGTACTTCCCTTTTCTTTTTTAAGTTAATTATTAACTTATTTAAACTTAGTTACTTAAATTGTTTCTGATGTATTTAATTGATAATTCGATTTTTTATGACAAATATTTCAGCTCACTCAGAAGAACTACTAAGTGACTGCCCCACCAGCAGTTTATCCACTACATATGGAAAACTAAAAACTGCTATATTATGTGACTATGATGCTTATATTAGGCCCGTATCGAATCATCAAAATGCCACAGCTGTATATTTCAAATTAATTCTTAAATATTTCACATATGTAAGTACATGAGTACGTTTGAAAGACTGGTTTATAGTGCCCGTATGTCATTTTAATTTTAGGACGTAATCTATAGTACTCTGAGTCTAGATGCATGGATGAAAGTGGTAAATACTGATTTTATTAGCAAATATCACGAAATAATTCATATTCTTCTAGTATTGGATTGATCAACATCTAGTATGGAACCCTGACGATTATGATAATATATCTTCAATTTATTTGGAGACTTATGACATCTGGACTCCAGATCTTTCAATCTATAATAGGTTTGTAAAATACAGTAACAATTCGCAATTTAATATCTACAGATACCCTGACAGGATAATACTTGTTTTTTTTTAATAATTGACGATTTGGAAATTTAAAAAAAACATCCTAAATCTAAATCTAAATGCCTAAAAAAAATTGTTTTAAAAAAATTTTAAATTCTCTAAAATAAAATAATTATTCCACATCACAAAAAGGGGCAAAAATAAAAAAAATCTATATTTCTTGAATGAATCAAAATATCACACTTGATACGCTCCATATGAGATTTTAAATTACAGTTATTGTTGTTATTTTTTCACCGTAAGTAATTTCAATAATACGGGCACATAAAAAAGTGGTAGGTATGTCCCACGGATAAAACCTGTGCTATCCTATATATTTGGATTTGAGCCCCTCAAAAACCGAATCTGCGATGGGAAATGTTTTATCACCCTCCAGTTTCTTTTTTAAATTGCTAAAGGATCACCTCTAATAGGTGCATTCAATAAGTTTCTTCTTGGGGACAATTCTGAAGAGTCAACGTCATATTCATAGAGCTCATTACATACTTTGGAGATTTAAAGACAACCCTTTCAATCCTTCAGCTTCGAGTAAATATAGAAAAACCAATACCATAGTCATATCTTGGACATACGAAGACAAAATCAGTCCTGCAACCCCGCAGCTCTTGATGGATACCAAAAATACCCTACTTCTCGAAACTCCAAAATCTTTTACAACATTACATTCAGTTTCTCGTTGGCTTCGGACCTAGAGAAAGTCTCACTTCAATCATAGTATACTTGAAACCTGAAGGCAGTTACGGAGTCGAGAAAATTGATTCGATTCTAAAATTATACCTAATGTGATTTTGAATTATTATTTTACGGTAATTACTGTTAGGTGTTAAAAAGATATACTTATGTATGGAAAAAATACAGAGTTGATACAAAGCAAGCTTCTGACGTATAAGAAATGAATCATGGATAAAATAAAACAACACTTCATCAATAGTATATAATAATAATATAATAACATCTCTACCCCTCATTCTAACTACGAGAATTAGCCCAGAAGTCGGAGACTTGTGCGGGAGAGGAGGCGGCATATTATTATTATTATTAAGCAGGCCGCATTTGCGCCCAGGAATATAAATGAAGTTATTTATATATTTATACAAACACTAACAAATTACAATTTAACTGATAACTTAGTACAAATAAATGAAACTACAACTGAGATATGGTTAAATGTATTATGAATCGTAAAGTATGAATAATTTTTCCCCTTGTCTGATTATTACCTTACTAGATGTATGCATTCAACTAAATGTCAACTGTCTACAGTCAAAGAACAAATTATATACCACCTTTATATACCAATCTTTTTCCAGCTTTTGACGAGAACGGTCGTGTCCACGTGGCGTTAGCAAGTGTTAGGTAACAAGTAGATTAAAATATTTACATAGGGTGGGCCACCAGTAACGCCTCGGTCGCTAGTGACCAAACGGCAAATGTTACAGAAACTTGTTTAGGTGGGTATGTGTAGGTTGATTACGGCTACATTTTAAAAATATTTTGAGATTTACAGGGTGTCCAGGAAAAGCGTACCATATCAAAGTTATGTTTTTTTTAAATGGAACACCCTGTATTTTACTGCATTTTTGAAAGCAGCGTAAAAAAATAGGTGAACTTTATTAAAGGTTCTGCATACCTAGGACTTACAGTTTGTGAAAGATTTTACTTTAGTAAAATACAGGGTGTTCCATTTAAAAAAACATAACTTTGATATGGTACGCTTTTCCTGGACACCCTGTATATCTCAAAATATTTTTAAAATGTAGCCGTAATCAACCTACACATACCCACCTAAACAGGTTTCTGTAACATTTGCCGTTTGGTCACTAGCGACCGAGGCGTTACTGGTGGCCCACCCTGTATATATTAAAAATATTTATTAAAAT